TGTATGTGTGTATGTCTGTCTGTATGTATGTATGTATGTATGTCTGTCTGTCTGTATGTATGTATGTATGTATGTATGCATGGATGCATGTATGTCTGTATGATGTGTTTTGTTAAATTGCAGTTAGTTTGTTTGCTTTTTTTCCTGCTTGTTTAAGTTGTTTTGTGTCATTTCCGATTGTGGCTTGTACATCCCGTTTAAGACTTGGGATTGTTATGTTTGTTTCAGGGACTACTGCTTGCATGTGTTATAGGCTTTAGGACCCAGGGTCCAGGTTGTCTGGCTTCACGTTTTTCGGGTTGCCTTGTTGAGAGTCAGAGTTGGGGCATGGCATATGTTGGGGTTGGGCAGCAATAAGTGACTCGGCAAACTCAGGATGAATCCCTCGTTAAGATTTGGCAGGGTCGGGATCATTTTCTGTGTGGGTTCTGGGGTGAAGGGCTGGGGGACGATGTCGCATCAAGTTCTGTCATCAGAAGCAAGACGAGACGAGTCACACAACGGCGGTTGAGCGCTTGAGCCCATCTATGTCTGTAGTGAGTTACTGGAAGCACATGCATGTTCTCATCCTAGCAATCACGCGCGAACCATGACCGAATCCAGGCCCGTCAAAGTGCGCATCATGTGCCGTCTGGCCGAGGTGAGGACGAAGATGGTCCTGGTCCATCTGAATGGCATCAACACTCCGGCTGGGGAGCCCGCTTGCCTGGGACTTCATCTGCTCATGGTTTATGAAGCCAGCTTGGGCCCTAGCCCTTCAAGCCCAGCAAGAAATCCCAAGCCCGTAACCTCAAACCGTAAACCTGCGTCGGACCAGAGTCTTAGAGCAGCCCGCTAACTCAGAATCCTACTTGGGTGTTTCCGAAAATTAGGGGTACCTTATTTTAAGGTCCTTATAATAAGGATCCTACTATTTAGGGTACTATAGTAGGGCCCCCTGTTTTCGGAAACCCCACTTGTCCACGTGACGGAGCCTGACATCGAACTAAGCTCCCGCATAGAAGACACGACAAAAAAGGCTGTTGAATTCACGAGTCCGGGAACTGGCCGCTACATAAAACCCCGATCAAGAGCCCTCCTCGAGCCCTTGAGCCCGAAACCCAGTAACACACCCCGCAAAACCAGTAGTCCAATTCTTCAGGTCCTCATCTTAAACCCTAAACCCTAAGCCCTAAACCCTAAACCCTAAGCCCCTAGTCTAGATATTCAAAGCGGCTTTCAAAGCCCCTCCATCTTCCGTTGCCGAAGCCCGCAGGTCATCCAGAGGGGGCTGCTGAACGCGAGGAGTCAGGAGGCCGAAAGTCCCAAGAACCCAAAGGGAGTTTAGGGTCGGGGTTTAGGGGTTAGGGTTTAGGGTTTAGGGTTTAGGGTTTAGGGTTTAGGGTTTAGGGTTTAGGGTTTCGGAAACCCAACAACGACACAAAACTAGAGCCTGAAACGTCGGCACCATAGTGTGCGGGCCTTATAGTTCGAGAAGCATGAGCTGTGTACAGTCTTGAGGGCCTGGAACAGGGGCTTGAGCTTTATTCATGTTTTGTAGGGTTGAACACGTGAAACCGAGTTTTGCGATGTTACAATGCAGCTAAAGAGGGACTATAAAGGGCATAAGGGAGATATCAGATTAGCTCATTCAGACCGCTGCGTTGTACAACTTAAGTGTCGAGCCTAGTCAGGAAGAACATTCCCCTCCCCTCAAAGCTTCAGCGAGTTTTGCCGGTCGACTTTCGGGCGAACCACATTCGAAGCCACGCGACCCTCAACGAGTGAACCTTATGTTGCAGCAGGAGTCAATTCCCTGGACACGAAACGCAAGAGGTAAGTCCCTTCATCTTCAACTCAAAACACCCCAACCTGAC